CACCTTCGTAGATAAGCTTTAATACCTGGGTCCCTAGTCCCCAAGTTAATCTTGCTGCAATAGTGAGGGCATTTATCGTCTTCAGAGATCTATAAACTACCATATCTGTGTGGGTTTTCCAATTCAGTATCCGGTCGAATATCAATCCTAGATAATTCATTGTGTCCGTCTGTTCTAGTGTCTTGGAGTAGAGTCTTATGTCCAACTTTGGAAGTTTCTGTTTTCGTGTAAAGAGCATGTATTTTGTCTTGTCTGTATTAAATTCTAGTTTGTTAGCTGTAGCCCATTTTTCTAAGATGATAAGAGATTGGTTGGTCAGCACTTGTAATTTTGGTAATAGCTTGTCTTTTACTAGTAGAAGGATATCGTCGGCATAAGCTAAGATGTGTGCTCCGTCAGGCAATTGTAAATCGAAAATTGTATTGAGAAGGACGTTCCAGAGTGTAGGAGAAAGACATGAGCCTTGTGGTATACCAGTTGTTAGGTGTTTTTTAAATATGTAGTTATTTGTCCTGATTTCAATCGTCCTGTCATCGAAAAAACTGGAAATCAATAAAAAGATATTTTTTGGGCAATTGTATTTTCTCAGGTTTTCTAATATAATTGGTGTCCATGCATTATCAAAAGCTCCAACAATGTCTAATTTGAGCATAATGCAATTAGATTTTGTTTCCAGGGCACTTTCAATGTACAACAAACAAACTTTCATTATATTGACAAGAAATTGACGCTAGGAACTCCTCAAGGATCAGCACTATCGCCTATACTATGGAACATCTTAATAAATACTGTTTTCGAAATAGACCTACAGGAAAATTCAACATTATTAGCATACGCAGACGATTTATTATTACTTGTAAAACGAAGAGATTTCGATGAATTACAGACAATAGCAAACATAACATTATTAAGGCTGAGACAATGGACTAGACGCAACAAACTTAAATTTAATCTAGACAAGACAAAATATATAATCTTCACAAAAAAGAGAATTGTACCAGAATTGGATATTCGACTCAATACAGTAAGAATAACGCAATGTGATACATTATCATATTTGGGGCTTCTCTTTGACAGAAAACTGAATTGGAACAGACATATAGATAATCTATATGACAACACTTTAAGGATTATAAATGGACTATCAGTGGCTGCAAGAGCGACATGGGGACTCAGATCGGAAGTGTTAAAGGAAATTTATGAAGCTGCTGTACTTCCTAAGACGCTCTACGCTGTGCATGTCTGGCATCCGGCCGTTAAACGTAAGAAAAATTTGGTGAAGTTGGAAAGGCTTTAGAGGTTAATTGCGATTAAGATATGTAAGGGCTATCGTACACTATCATTCGAGGCCACAATATTATTGGCAGGGCTGTTGCCAATCCAAATGAAGATTGAAGAACGAACGACCTTATATAACATTAGAAAAGGAAAGAGAAGATACAAAGACCTGACGCTGGACAAAATAGAAAGAATCACTGACTGTAAATCTTGGTTACACCCTGCAACAAGTTTGTGGACTGGACCAAGAATTACTTCTGAAAATACTGATGTTTTCACTGATGGTAGTAAGGACGGCGAGAATGTTGGATGTGCATGGTTGTTCAGAGCTCAAGATGATAGGAATATAGAACATCAATATAAATTAGAATCATATTGCTCAAATAATCAGGCAGAAAAATTCGCTGTTTTAAAGGTGACTGAATACATATATGAATACCCTCTACAAATGAACACTCACGATACTATAAATACAGACAACAAAGTTCTGCTAGACTCTGTTAATAATTGGGACATTCATGATTACTTGACTGACCAAATTAGAAACAAATTGTTAATGATGAGAACTGTAGGGAAAGTAGTGACTCTAAAATGGGTAAAAGCACATTGTGGGATTGAGGGCAATGAACGAGCCGATTGCCTTGCAAAAGAAGCAGCTAAAAGCGATTTGCCGCCATCGTATCATCAAGCTCCTTTATCGTATATTAAGATGAATTTAAAGTTGGATTTCATCAAAAGATGGGATCACATATGGGTGACCTCAGCTAAGTCACCAAGCTTACACAGATTTATACCACACATTTCAATTCACAATTACAGACACATTCACAGTAATGACTATAAACTTACGCAAGTACTTACGGAACATAGGAATACAAAACAATATCTTAAAAGATTCAACATTATACAAACAGACTTATGTGATGAAGACGGACAGGTTCAAAATTTTAAACATATAATATATGAATGTAAACAATTTGACAGACAGCGATTTGAGTTAATAAAAAGCATAATTATCAAAAGAGGAAATTGGCCTGAGACGGAACAAAAGTTATTTACTGAATTCAAGACAGACTTTCTTAGATTTATTAGATCGATCGACTTCGACTTACTAACCAGGGATGGGCAGCGTGGGTGATTTCTTTTTGGCTTTGTTGGATTGACTTTGTGTGTTTAATATTTAATTTTCCGATTTAATTTTTGTGTGTTTATTCTTTGTGTTTTTTTTTTTGTTAATGTATATAAATTTGAACTAAAAATGTAAATCATGTGAAACTAGAAAAAAAAACAATTGTAAACAAATGTAATTCATGTAGTATGTCTTTAAGGCATGGAGCATGAAGGAAAATCAAATAAACAATCCTTGTGTGGGGTTACCACGTAGGGAAAAAAAAAAAAAATGTATATATATATATATATATATATATATATATAAAGGTCAATAAGGAATAAGGTCAAAATCAAGAAAATCTGAAGAATTATGGGTGTTGCAATACTTTTGACGAAATCGCTTCGGGATAGTTGTTATCCTAACAAATCTTCCTCGTCCCTTCAATTATCATGAGGTGTTCATTAGAGCTCCTCACTCTCTCCGAACCTTTTCTCCATTTATATTAGCGACCTTCCTGACTCCAATTATCACTCGCACCATCACTTATATGCAGAAGATACAAATTTACCTATCGTTCCAACCTTCTGAGATGCCTGAGGCTACCTCAAAACTGCAAGAGGATGTTGACTGTATCCACAGATGGGCAGAAAAAAATGTACTGAAGCTGGACGCAGATCCAGCCTTAGAAAACTAAGGCTATTATCATCAGTCCCATGTACCTCATAAGTTACCTTCCTTTCTCTCCACTACTTTATGTTAATAACTGTCCCATCCATTTCTTCCAGTCAAAAACCATATTTCCCAGATTACCCTTTTTTATATTTTCCGCGTCTTTCCCTTCCTATGCTTAAAAGCTACACGGGGTTTTTCCAGGCCAGAGGGTATGGGCGGGGATTTCAAAGATTCCTCCGGCTCCAGGACGCGAACTTTTGATTATTTTATATTAATTGTCTCATATATCAGGTTGCCTGGCAACGGAGGTGCGCTGTGCACACACTTTAGTCCGTTCGGCCACCCTGCTGTGTTACCTAGATTATCCATAAATCTATAATTATTCTTAAACAATATCTACGATTTCGTGAATCTCTTCCAAAAAAAAAACAAAAAACAAACAGCTCCTTGTAATATTTTTTGTTTTCCCCCACTTCGACTACAGTTGCTTGGTGTATAGAGGGCTTTCCACAAGACTGGAGTGACTCATGAATTGCTTTATAAGATTCATCTTTGGGATTGCCAGGTTTCTTGCTTGTATACCCCAATCTCTACCTATAGATAAATATATCTTCTCTCCTAAAACCAGTTCCTTTAGCAAATCAGACATCATTCCTGCTATCTCCTTTTGGAACTCTTTGGATCTCCATACCTCAAACCACATCCACAAATTCCTTCAAACAACTCCTATTCCACTACCTATTACACATTTAAACCAGAACTGGGCAAAAAGTATTTTAAAATACTGTATTTAAAACATACGTGTTTTGTGTTTTTAAAACACAGAGTATTTTAAATACCATGTATTTAAAATACTTTCAGAAAAAGTATTTTAAATAAACAATTTTGGGTTAATAGTATTACAAGATTAGTATTAATAATTTTCGTATTTTGTATTTATAATACATTATAAATACATGTATTTATAATTGCATCAAAAGTATCTAGTTGTACTTTAAAACAACTTCCTATAAAAATAATTTTTTTTTATAAATTAATAAAAAATAAAATAATTTTTTTTATTTTAAATCTTTTTTAATAAGGAAAGCAAAAGTACAGTGGTGATAGTTTTAAAACAATTAGTTGAGAAAATATACTTTATTCAATCAATATTTTTTATAGAAGAATTTGTTAAGGAAATTACAATCGACAAGACAAAAAAAAAAAAAAAAAAAAAAAAAAAAAAGGCTAATTTAATTAGATATTGATTCCAAATTAAACTTTTTTGTAATTAGTTTTTAATAATACACGTTCCTCAAACAATTGATCATTCAAAAATATCATTCTTGACGCATCCAACAAATTAGAGAATGAAAATAGTCATTCAACTGGCCATGAGGGTCTACATAAAAAATATGAATACTATGATCTATGAATAAATTAACATGTACTGAAAACTCAAATAAATATTTTTTTTCTATTTAAAATTATTATTTTACTATAGTATTAGTAGGCACGAGTAGCTACTAATGAATGACTCATAAAATACATTACTGTAAAAAAAGGGCAATTTTTTCTGATTTCTCTAATCCAAAATGAAAACTATGATTATCATGCATTAGCAAAAGAAGCTCAAAAAGTAGGTTAAGAATAGTTACTTTTTCAGCCAGTCGAAGACTGAGACTGAAATTGATTTAAGTATATTTATAATTAAAACAAAAAAAGTTTTGTATCTTACCCATGGTGATATACCCAAACAAAAGTGAAGCCCAATTTCAAATTATTCAACCAATTAAGTAACTACTATACAAACTAAATTACCAATCAGTTATCACTAAAAATAGTTATTACATCAATTGGTACAGGCAAATACACATTTTAACAATAAAATTGCAAGATTGATAAAATGTATACATGCAAAAGAGATATACCAGAATAATGTACAAATACATATAAAAAGAAATCAATTATATATATTTATTTTAAATTGAGCACATTTCATAAGTAAAATACAATCAAGGTAACAAAAAAATAACAAAAAAGTTCACCAGCAACTACTGGTCCCAGAGGTATATTAACATAGCAAAACTTAAATAAATATCCAACAACTAAACTGTAACACAAATTAGTTTTAAAAAATAATAACAAAGTCTAAAATCAGCTCAATTCTTTAAAAATATGAACATTGTCAACATGATGATAGTTTTATTGACAGGAATATTAAGTATAAGCTAATTATTTTTAAATATTAATTATTTTTAGGTAATCGAGGAATATTTTAGATTACACAAAAATCTTTTACATAAAACAATACTTTATCAACGGACATTTATGTCAAATATCATCCATGATTTCATAATAAGGGGAATGAGAGGGGATTGAAATGGGAAAAATAAAAAATCTAAAAAAACATATTCTTCAAACAGTAATCCTCGATTATATTATATTTTGATATTTTACAAGTAAACAGTATAGTAACAATTTCAAATACATTAATGCATGACCAAAGATAATAATGAATTAATGAAACCTAAGACCAAAAGTGTACCAAGTAGTGTATGAAATTCGTACAAATAATATAGCTAATCAACTTATGGTATGTTACAGCAATCTTCAATTAATATGGTTATAAACTGTCTGAATTACTTTTTTAATGCCCTTCTATCATTTCTTAATTAATGTCAAACTTAAAAATTGACTGACAGACTTATTTATTTAAAAAAAAAAAAAGGAAATGAAACAAATAGCAATAGAGTTGAAGTAAAATTCATAAAACATATCAAATCACAACCATCGATTTTTTAATATAAAAATAATTTGTTATCTTATTGAAATAAACGTTTTACACTAAAATCAACAGTAAAATAAATATAGGTAAGCAAAAGTAAAAACATATGATAGAACAGAATTCTAAAGCATATTACTAATAAAGCACCCTTAGAAAAAATATAACAAAAAAGATTTAAAACATAATTCATACTAACTACAGTGATATAAACTTTCTGAATTCCTTTATAGAAATAAACAAAGTCTATTAAACATAAACATTAAATTTATTTCCGGATATAATTTATTGAAATAGTGCATTATGTACAAAATGTTGGAGTATTGCTTTAATAACCTAAAAGTAAATGTTCACAAACTTAAAACATATAGAAATCTAAGATTGGTGCTAATGATTCTCTACAATCACAAAATGAATTACACACGCATATAATGGGATAATATACATAGTATGGCCATAGTAATGATAAAAACGCAATGGACTATGGCCTTCCTCATCTCTGTTACTCTCCTTGTCAAGTTTGTATGCTCATCATTGAGGCTGTCTTTTTTTTTAGAAATGAATTGTTTGAAAATTATTATTCACATAGAGCAATGATTCAATACGAAAATTCAGTACTATGACTGAAGCTTATAATATTTTGAAAGAAGAAAATAGACTTTCTATCAGCCACTCGAGTATTAGAGTGGCTCCAAAAATTATAAGCAGGAGAAGATCAAACTGCTTTGTGGAAGAAAAAGCAATGCTATGGTTGTTCAATCAAAGCGACACTGGGCCGTGCAACACGGTCAGCAGCTATTAGTAATTAAAATCATCAACCCCTTATTCACTGTATATTGCAACATTTAATTTTCATCTTACTTAGGTGAACCAACAGATTGTGAAAACAAAAAAATGAAGGAAGACCAGTTGCTTTTTTTCAAAACAGATTTACCAAAGGAAAATTGTAGATATTGTGAAAATACCATAATTTAAGGTAGTAATGTTAATACTAAGTTAAAATACCAATAGGAGATTTTGTTTGAAATGGGTTTTTGTTTGTTTTTAAATCCACACTATATACATGATTCAGGAAATATTCTGAAATAAGTAACAAAAAGTAGAACATCCATAATATTTAAATTAAATTTATTTTTTCATGTTTAACAATTCATGAATTATATTAATTTAAAACCTTATTATTAATTTTGTAATGATAAAAATACCAAGAAGAAGAAGGCTCACAAAAACAATTCAAACAGCTTTTTTAATTACTTCTTCATGTTCCAATTACTTAAATATTCAGAATTATCAATAATTTGCTTCAATACATTTATAATGTTAATGATTTAAATTGTAAAAAAAAAATTATTTACACTAAAATAAACATACAAAAATTGAGAAATGTTTGAAAGACTAAATTTATTTTATAACAACATTTAAACAATGAATTTAAAAACTAAAGTCAGAGATAAGCAAAAACCAATGGATTGAGGAATTGTGTTAATTAAAGCAATAAACATAATTCAGCTAATACTATGTACACATTTCTTTTCATAGGCTTATTAATGTTTTGTCTTCAAAAACTAGTCACAGCCTGAAAAATGCATATCAATCAACTAAAAACAGCAAACATCTATTGTATAATAACAGTGATTATAAAGTCTAATAAAAAAAAAGAAAAGAAAAATTACAAAACATTAAAAAATATTAGAAGCTAAAAATAGCCTCATCAGATTAATAGTTTCAAATTTATTTGGAAAATATATACTTTTTTGAGAAAATAAGACAATGAGATTACTGGGTTGGGTTAACATCAAATTTGATTACATATTTCTGTTCAATTTTGAAACATGGAGGATAGAAAGACCATTGTGATGAATTGTATTAAGTTATAATAAAAATTGATGAAGATTTGCAAGGATTTTTTGATTGGAGTGATTAGAAAGAAGACAAAGTAATGTTATAGAGTAAAGGTTGAAACCAGCAAAACCAATAAGAAGTTTTTTAAATTTACAGAAATTCAGGAGAATTCAAAGAGATTCACCTGGCAAGGTTTCGGGAATATCATATAACTACCCAAATAAGAGTTAAAGAGGAAGAAAGGCAGTCAGTATGTTTCAATAGAAACTGAATGTAATTTCTTGGGATTTATTTAATTTTTCTTAAGCCATTAATTATTTATGTTTCAAAAGTGATAAAAGAAATAAGTATTTGTTGAGTTAAAGAAAGGAATAGTTGAATAGTTAAGTTATCAGTAAAGTAGGAAGGACCAGCAAAAGAAATATAAACAGTATAGAATTAACATTATTAAACATAGAACTTAGATAGTGTCCTAAAACATAACTATTTATAAATAACAATATTTTTACTTTTTGTTACACACTCCATGCGGCAAATATGGATTCATTGATTTTAGTTATCAGATGAAAAAATGAACAAGGTATTTCTAGCATCATTGATTTTGAAGGAAGTTAACATTGTGAAATGGTGTCAACTGTCAACTTCACAGATGTTTTAACTATAATTAAGTTAAGGATTAGATACTGTTGGATCTAGGAATGCATAAATATTTAAATTGACATAAAATAAATATAAAAATTACCAAACATATAAAAAAAAAATGAATAAATAAGGAATGAAAATTAAGAGGAAGAAATGAAGAAAAAATTGCTGATTGATGTAGTCAAATCAGACATTGTTATTACTCGAAACTATAACTATCTGTAAACTAATCTATAAACTATCTGTAGCGTTGATTTTGATATTGAATTTGTTTACATTGAACTTCAAAAGAAAAAAAAATGTAATATCAATAAATAATAACATTAAAAGTGTTTATTGAGACCATAGATTTCCATAAATTTGTTAGTTTGTTTAATCAACACATCCTATTTCTTCTTTCTTTTCTTTTTTTTTTTTTTTTATGTAGGAAGATAGCCATTAAGATAATAGCAGTAATGAAATTAAACATAGTTCATAAAAAACTGAATGCTACTTAAATATATTTGCAACAAATATAGAAAGAACTATTTGAAAATGTAATAATGAGGTGATACCATGAAATGCTGGGACTTGCAATTAAACAAAAGAATTGGAAAAACTATTAAATGTTAACTGCTGGTAAAATGATATGTATTAATGAAAACATCTCTGCATTGTTATCTCGTAATATCTAATTTGAAGGAAAATATTTTAAAATGTAAAATAACAGATAAACATTTGTCTATAATATTTTTAAGTTTTATATTTTATAATACTTTTTAAAAAAGGATAAGCCAATAATTTAAACAAAACATGTTATTAACTTATTTGTTTTGTTAATATGTTACATAATTTAAATTTAAAAACAAATTAAAAAATTATTGTATTAATCTGAGGGATGTTCAAATAGGTTTTGTCAATTTGAAATGTAAAGATGTTTTGGGACTGCCCCTTATCTGCATAAGAATTTTCATCCAATATCAATGTTGTTTGATTGAACCATGTAAAAACAGTTTCATTTATGAATTATATGTAGATCGTGCATGAGATAATGGTAGTGTTTGTTCAGAAGTAGAAACCAGCACGTTACCAATAATTTTTTAAGCTACCTTCTCAATCTCTTAGCAATATTGTTTAAATCAAATTTGATTGATATAAAAGTAAGAATAAATTAATTCAAACATGTTAAACCTCATTATGATTACTTCTTTATTATATATATATATATATATATATATATATATATATATATATATATATATATATATATAACAAAAAAAAAATAATGATATACCTATACAAACATTTTACATAAACAATCATTTGGGATACAATCCAACATGGCAATGGTTTCCAGAAGATTGCAAAAATATTAATCAATAAAAAAAAATTTCAACCTAAGATCCATCAGTATTCTCATGTTCAATAATCCAGCACAACTAAACACTAACTCTTCATCAATTAATAATAGAGAAATTCTTTTTGGTAAATTTTATAATTTATAGTTTTAAAAAATATATCAAATCTTATTACTATTATCCCAAACATTGATTATCAACCAATCTCTTTATCTGAAATAATTGAATTTTTAACCCATTAGCACCTAATCATTTTTATATTTTTAACTATTGAATCCATTTTCATTTTTAAAAATTTTGGTTTTGCAAGTTTTGCCTGTTACCATATGGTAATGGAGAGTGAGTACACTGTCTTGAATTTCCCCTGAATTATTGAAATAAATTATTTAGGTGAATATTTTTATTTCAATTAAATATTGTAACTCCATTAATTTATCTATCAGCACCATATTTTTTTCAAAGAGCTTATCTTAAACACTCAATATAAGGACGATAAGTATGTTCATAAGTAGAACAATTGTAAAAAATATTTTAAAATATGATGACATAACAAATAATGGTATGAAAAGTTTTAGGAACAAAGAAAAAAAAAATTCCTGAAGATGGTAGGTTTCCGAAACCTTGAATATGTAACCAGACTATTTAAGTAATAAAATATTTACCCTAGGAGAAAGAAATAATTTTTTTCCGAACCATGAAGAAATTAGAATTATCCTTTCTGTATGAATATAAATATAAGGTATCTGATTTTTCATTATAGGTACAGCATGTTATACATTTTAAGCCAACAAATAATTTTCATGACCACCCTCTATTGATTTAATAACTTCCTACATTGGAACTTCAAAACTCTGGCCCACTCTCGAGTTGACATTAAATTAAAGGAAAGATTTCACTGCTTCTCTTTTTACCAATTTATTCAAGGTCAAGAACCAATTTATGTTAACATATGGTAATGAATGGCGCTAATGGGTTAATATTTATTTGTTTAACTCTCATTATTTAATAAGCAGTGAGAATCTAGAGTTAATTACAATCGATTTTCAATATATATGAATTACAAGTCTAAAAACAAAACTTAGGTTTCTTTTAGTCGATTTTGTTTTAAAATCAAAAACATACATATGTTTATATAAATATACTAGCGAAATGAAAATAAAAAATATATACACAATAGTATTTTCAAGAAAATTACAAGAAGTAGATAAACAAAATTAATAAACACTGCATTTAAACTAATTGACAGTGTCGTAAGAGAGATTAAGAAGTCTAATATTATTTTTATTATTTGAAGTCAGTATATTACTAAGAATATAGTATAAAGGAACTATGGACATTATTTTCAATCAAAATGGTAATTAAAATCACTATAATAAAAATTCTACCATCTTATCGGTCTTCAAAATATTTTGAAAAAGTCAAAATGCATTCATCATCATGTAGTACAACAATAAAACATCAATACATTTATAAATATAAAATTAATATTAGCTTAAAGGTAACTTATAAAGAAGTAGGTTTTAAATTTTGGGCATTTTCTAGCTTGGAATGGTATGTTCCAATATCACACACCAGTTTCCTGCCGCAATCGGACTTGAGCTAGATACCTTATCTGTTATTCTTCCTCTTCATCTTCTTCAGAAGTTGAGGATTCGGGCATGCTACTAAACCAATTTTCTCTGGCACAAGGCATGGTAACACCCTCTTGCATACCGCTGCCACATCTAGAAAATAAATAAACAAAAAATTGCTTTCATTCCATATTAAATTCAATACAGCAGGAACCAACAAAGAAGTAGAATGTACATAGACCATAGTTTAAATGGAAAAAAACAGTTAAAGAAGAAGTAAAACTGATAGAGATGACCTGTGGTAATTGTAACTACATCAACTTATGAGCAAGTTTATTTATTATTCATTATTTGATTTATAATCAGAAAGTCAACTGTATTGAATAGAGCTGAATCAATTTTTTCAGTCTGTCCGTAATGAAGTTTATAATTTTAAATTATTTCTTGTTTAATCTTATACAAAAGCAATACTTCAATACAAGAATAATATTTTTTTGCTCCATCTTTCTGTGCATCCAGTTCTAAAATTACTTAATAGTTAAAAGCTAAATGAAGGGTGAGAGTTGAATGTTGCATTTCCCGTCTTACAATATTTCAGAGGCTAATATGGAACTCCGATGGCATTAGCTGCATATCTAATGGAACGTCCATCATCAATAAGTGCCACACCATGCCCAACATCTTCAGCACTAAGAGGCATTTTTAAACTTAATATTGAAAAAATTAAAAGCCGGAGACTAAGAAATGTGCTGCAAGAAACTGCACTGAACTAATGATACTGAATAAACATTTTGATTCCATAAAAATTCCATAGTAATACATAGTAAATACATTTCGTTTAAAAATAAATTTTTAAACTAAATGTATTACTTGTGGTTGTTAAATAATATGTGTCTGAGGCTGTATTTGAATGGTAAAAAATAAATTTAAATTAGTTTTGCAGGTTCTTGAAAATGGCTCCTGAAGCCGAAACGTTAAATAAAGTATACAGGAGATAAAAAAACTGTTTTTTTGGTGACCTTTGGCCTAAAATAGATATATGATAAATTATAAAAAGTTTAGTTTTCTTATTTCTCTCATGGAGTTTTTGTAACATCGATTTTACGAGTGAAAACATGTCAAATAAGTACATATTACTATTGTTAGTGCAAAAAGTTGTAAGCATTTTGCTACGATGAAAAATAGCAGAGGACAATACATTATGAAATTATACTAACAAATCATAATGAAACAATTAGATTTTATGCTTTTCTGTAAAACACTCAATGTTCACTTACGATTTTTTTCACTAACAGTAGCGATATTCATGTTCAGTATGCACTCAGTTTTTTTATTAATCCCGAGTCATCAAATATGCAATCTGCGGAACTTTTTCGCATTTTAGTAATCGCTAATGAAAACAACTCATGAATATCAAACCAGTATATTTTGAGGGATTACTGAATTTCCGAAAAAGGCTTCTCCCAGAAAAATGTTAGATCTTGTAATATAGATATTTTTTAGCCAACACAAATGGCGAGGAAGCTATACTGAGCTTCCTTGGCAAACGTTTTTTTCTATGGGTCCAGTATTCCTAAACAGTATTCACGACCCTAATTATTTATAGAAGCAGACTATTAACGTGACTGGAACTAATATGTAATCACAGTAGGGGAAATTTTCCAATTTTTCGATGCAGTTGGTCGTTTCTTCAATGCAAAAAGTGGACAACTGTATTAGCAAGATAAGCTAAATCTTGAAGAAAACATGGATCATGTTGAATATCAAAGGTTCATGTATCGAGGAAATTTTGCAGCCTGTAATTTTTCCCAGAGCCAACCTTTCCAACGTGGTTTCTTATGGTGTGGGCTGGGATTTCAATGGAGAGCCGCACAGAATTGGTTGTTGTTCGTGGAGGGTCTTTGACGGTCATTTGCTATGTAGATAAGATTTTGGAACCTCATGTGTTGCCTATCCTCAACGAAATCGGCGATCGTTCTATTCTAATGCAAGATAATGCACGCCCATATGTCGCCCGCATAGTGAAGACGTTTCTTCAACAGAAAAATATTGAGGTTTTAGCCTGACCAGCACGTTCTCAGGATTTGAACCCCATTGAGCATTTATGGGATAATCTTGGAAGACAAATAAGAGCGCGTGCAACACTTCCTGATACACTGCAGGATCTCGAAAGGGCTCTTCAGGGGAGGAATGGGCTATCCTCCAGCGAAGGGACATTTCCCGACTGGTGGAAAGTATGCCGAGGCGTCTTCAAGAAGTAGTGAAGGCAAGAGGAGGAAACACGCGCTACTAAACGATGATGTAATTAATTTCTTTTAGAATAATAATGGTTCGCTTTTCAATTTTTTTTTCTCTAATCTTTCTTACCCAATCACATTTTTATTATTAAAGGTAAAAAAGATTATAAAATTCCATAAATACTAAGTATTATCTACAAATACCATGTATTATATACAAATACAACTTTTTTTTACAAGTGGGTGGAATTATTTGTCAGTCAGTGTATATACATATATATTTCTTATTTCTTTTCAGGGATTTGACTGGGCTCACTCTGCAATTCACATAAAGCTAAAATCATGCTAAGTAGGTTGGGTTTTCTTATATTTTTAATCCTCTCATAAAATCAATCAAACTAATAATCCAATAGCTTCATTATTTAAGAATAGTAAATTAACTAATAATCCAATAGCTTCATTATTTAAGAATAGTAAATTAACTAATAATCCAATAGCTTCATTAGTTAAGAATAATAAATTAACACAATCTATAAAATAAATTAATATTTTATTTTAATACCTTAGCTGTTTCCTGGGGTGTGTAGGCAATGTAAGAGATGCTCTACAGTAAAAATGTTGATCACACTGTTCACCAGTCCTTCGATGAAGTGTCATGGTAACCAAGTCTTCTTCATACCCAGGCGTCTGTCTCATGTTGCAGTTTTCACATTCACTACGGTAATCATCACTCTCATCAGCTGTGGGTCCTTCTCGTTTGGTTTCAACTACAGCAGCTGTTGTATTGATCTGTGAATTAACAACCCCAATGCTTGATGTACTGATGTTTGATATATCTTCTTTTTCCTCGATTGATGCTACTCCTGAGCCAACAACAACTTCAGCTACAATTTCCCCTCCATCTAATAAAAGACAAGAATTAAATCTTGAAACAATTGGAAACAAAATTCAATTAATAATACATAAAATTATTAATAAGTCTCTGTGTTACCTCAATAACCCTTGAGCTATCTTAACACATATTCGTCCACATGACAAAAATTTGTCATTTGTATTTTAGAGAAAATAATTAAATCTTGTTAAACTAACACCAATTGGACTAGGTTCTATGGCTACACTGTATTTAAGCCAATAAATATATTATCTACCTAATTGATTCTTGTTCTTTTAATTCTAAATAAATTAAATTCTAATTTTTACCAAACAGAGATAAAAGAGATGTCAGCATTTTGTGAATGTTGGTGCAAAAAATTATCGAATGATATATGATTAGATGATGACACATATGTATTATATATATGTATGGTTAACTTTAAGAGAGCAAAAGTTAATATTAAAAATAGAACTAGATTTGTTTAACAGCTTTAGGCAGATTGCAGCCATCAACTTCTGCTTCACTAAATTTCATGAAAACAAAGCATAGAACAGAGAGATTCTTAATAATTGAGTTTGGTTTATTTATAATAATAACTATCCATCAAAAATAATTTAATAGTTGAATATTTCTTCTTCGTATAGATTATTATGAATTAATTTATACTACTGGATTGAGTCCAAAAATATATATAATAAGCATTACTGGTTTTTACAGCATCTAAATCTAAATCATATTTTTGACAATACATTTCATTATTTCGTATTAAGTCGTTTTAAAGTTCATTTATAGTATGTTTAATATATGTTTGGTGAAATATTGAGGAAAATAAATCATATTTCCTAGTATAGTTCAGACAATTCTAAATCAACTTACGAAAAGAAACCATGGAAACTTATAAACAAATGTTTTCATTAAGAGTACATTTTACTCCTGAATGTGATGACTCACTGAATAACCTCTTGGGCTTCTTCAAGGGTACCAAATATTAGCACTGCGTCAATTATTTTCAAAACACTTAAATTAACATTCTGCAGTTAGAACAAGGATTCTACATCGTCAATTATGTAGTAGTTGGGTTCCTTCCATTACATATTACAAACCCTGACAAATATATTTTGTCCCATGCATAGAAGCATTTTAATATCCAAATGAGTCTTAAGTTTTGCTCGGGGAAGAAAGGCATATGACTACTTCACCAATTTCAAATATTTTTTTGTCAATTTCCATAAAAATCAATTAAGGTGTTTAAGAAGATATGTAAGTACATTCCTGTAAGATGAATAGGATTATTTCAATAGTCAGTTTTTTTAAATTATTTTTTTTATTTTATTACTAATTGCAAGTTCTAATAACGTTAATTAACTTTAATGTTTTATTATTTTACTTTTTATATTATAGTCTCACTTATTTAATTATTATACTTTTATTCATTAACAATCATTATTTTAATACATTAACATACTTGTTTCATGTAAAATATTTTAATATTCATTTAAGTTTTATTTTTTACTATTGTCAAGTAGTTGTCTATTAAAAATACAATCATTGTTGTTTCTCTTTTTTTTTTTTAATAACCTTATAATAATCTTTATTTTAATCGTGTTGGTTTATTTTGATTCGATAGATTTTTTAAGGGTAACAATAACAGATATGTTTTTAACCAATGTAAAGAAATTATAAGTTTATTTGCTGTTTCTTGTTTACGTATTATGTTTAGTTCCATTCATATTTTGTATTGTGAAAATAAATTCAACAAAAGTGGAAACATTTTTTTTTTAATATTGAAGTCCTCTTCAAATTTACAAATTTTCAAGTTATATTATGGCTCAAATTATTCTGATAGATCCCATGGTATTTTTAAATCATTCAAGCTTAAAATACTAACAAATTATGGTATTAAATGGTTCAAGTTTTCCATTTGAAGATGTGTGACAATTTTTTGAGTGTACAGCTGAAGTAATTTTTAAGTTTTAAGGCTCAGCGATTCAGTGAGATCCTTGGAGTGTTCTGAAACAATTTGACTACAAATTATTGTATATATTTGTTATTTTTTGAGCGAATGGTTCGACTACGTTTTTAGTTTGATGGCTTAAATTACCAAATTAGGTATGCGAGAGTTTTGAAACAACTTGAGCTCAAAATAATGAAAAAATATTTTATGATATTTCAAGTATCCTCAATTTTTAGTTGTTTTCATATACAGTGGGCAAAAAAAGTATTCGTACACACCGTTTTTTGGCCAAAATGGTTCACATTTTTTTAACTTTAAATAATAGCAGATATAAATTACAAACTTCATATTGAGTTTATTTTATGTAATGCCAAAATTTAAAATTTCATAGAACTTTTATAGCATTAATATTTCAATAATCTGTACACAAAAAAATTATTCATATACTAATGCAAATATTTATGATACGATAATTTATGGAATTAAAACAGAGTTTCAACGTTCTATTTATAATCCGTTACTGCAGAAGATTAAAGGATAAAACTGCACGAGAAATTGCTTGTTTGGTTCAGTACTAAAAAATATTTCTTAGGTAATGAGTCACAAGTCCAAAGAATTGAGTTCTCATCTTACAAATAACATTTTCAATAGGGTTTAAGTTTGCGGTATATTGGAAAAAAAAGTAAAATGGAAAAGTACTACAACAGTGAAATACATTAAAGAAATTTAAAGCCTGATTAGTGAACAACAGAGCCCGCCCAGAGAGAAAACTCTTGTTGACACTGTGAGAATCTCGTGAAATTGTAATAAAAGTCGTAAAAATTCTGAAATTAAGAGGTTTCAGCTTAGGGGAAATCTATAATACCCCAAATCATGAGGAATCAGCTACATGAAGCTGGCTATAGAAGCAGAACGATAAGAAAAAACCTTTAATAAATCAAATAAACAGAAAAAAGAAAAGATTGGACATGTAAATAAATCTAACACGTTTTGGGAAAATGTGTTGTTTTCGGATGAAGGAAGGTGTAATATATTTGGATCTGACAAAAAAAATAAATATGTTTGGAGTAAAAAAGGAAAGGTATTTGAATCCCAAAATCTACAAGCACGGAAATACCCACACTGAAGCACGGAGTTTGTGAGCTAGATTTTATTGACAGGATTATGAATGCTGACAAATATGTGAACGTGTTGCGATGCAATTGAAATAGAAATGTGTGTAAGTTAGGAATGGAGAATACATGTTTCAGCAGGACAACGATCCCAAGCACACAGCAATAAAACCAAACAATGGTGATTGCTGTATAATGTTCAAAAAATTCTTAAAACATCTCCCACAATCACCGGATCTTAATCCAATTAAAAGTTTATGGGCATTGCTGGAATTAAAAATCCGAAAATATTCTTGTTCCTCTTGGAAAGACTTAATAAATAATCTTAAAAAAGCTTAGGAAGAAATTGGATCAGGGAACAAGAGGCTCGTGGAACCGATACCAAGGAGACTCAATATGTGATAAACGTGAAAGGGTACCCTACAAAATATTGAGATTAATATTTATTATATTTTCATTGGATTAGTTAAATGTACGAATATATTTTTTGCATTTCATATTTGAAAACTTTGGTATTTTTCATACAATATGAATTATAAAATTTTACTTGTTTGTACAATTAATACAAAATGAAGTTTCTGATTGTTATCTATAGTTATTTTATGTTGAAAACATAAATAAAAAGATTTTTGGCTAAAACATATGGTGAACAAATACTTTTTTGTCCACAGGAAACACCATGTCAAATGCAATGAAAATAAATTATCAATACTTGCAAAATTAAAAACATTAAAATAAAAGGTAATTATAAAAAAAATGTACAAAATATTACATTTAAGTTGATTAAATTATTTCTGCTTTAGTTTTTATTGAATAATAACTGCAAATTCTGCAGTATTCAGAACATAAAATCCAGGTTCTACTTTTAAGTCCTTAGATATAAAAAAGGAATGAATACAACAGACTACATACTTGATTGTGGAGGTTCAGATGGAGGAATTATGGTTTCCACTGGTAATGGAGAAGTACTACCTAAAAGTAAACCACTTGTGGCCAAATTCACAGGAATTGTTCTATGTTGAGATTGCATTTGAGATGCAATACTTGGGCCTACAATTAAACAAATTATTTAGGTATTTCTATAACAAAAAACAAAGGAACAATAATTTAGTCAAGAGAATTATTTATTAATAAAATATTTATATGATGAAGAAAGTAATGTCTATGGATATAATAATAAACTTAAAAATATTACATATTAGAATATAAAGTTTAGGGAGTGCTACCACTAGATAGTTGTTTTTTCCACATTTGCTGGATGTATGTGAAATTGCAATCAGTTCTAAATTTCAAAAAAATAAAATTTATAAAAAAGAATAAAAGTATTGCAACAATTATGAAAAAATAAAACCCCAATTTTAAGTTGTACAAATCAAATTGACTTTCTTTTATAAATTTTTAAGCAGCTATTAGCAGTACCCTTACAGCATACTCATTCTTATTTGTTAATAATAATAATAGGATTTAGTTATTAGTTAAGTTAGAACTATTTAGTTATGTTCTAAGAATACTTCATAGTGAAGATAAAAAAAAAACAGTTCACATTTTGTCATTAATATTTAATATTTTCTTTAACAATCATACTCACTTATTTTAAAAAAAAAGAAGACATTTCAATTGTTTTTTTTTTATTCTGTACAACATATATGTTTTTTGGAAGGGAGAGGGGTTAGAATGTTTTACTTCAATCAAAATGTATTTTGACACTGGTATTTATATTCTATGAATGTAATTTTACTATATAATTTTAGAACAATAAAAAAAATTAACATTCAGATTATGTCCTCTGTCACAACCATGTACCAGAAACAGAAAAACTAATAAACTCTTATTAGAAATCTAATTATTTTCATTCAGAAATAATAGACATTAGCACTCTATTGAAAAGTCATCAGTAGAAGACGGGGTTGTATTTCTAAATGTTTTTGAGCCCCTAGAAACAGATTTTGTAATTTTTAGAGATGCCAATTATGGGCGTGCACACACCCACGCACACGCAGACCTGGCATTTTGAAATTGGATTTTTTTTTTCAATTTCATTTCGGCACCCTCATCGATCTCTGGCACAGTACTTTGGAATAGTAAACAAAATTAACTTTAATTAAAATAACATACACTTTCAAACCTTCTCCTGCTAAGAGTACCCTTATTAGACCTCTAGGTTTTGATCTGTTTTTAAAGAATTTAAAAAACAACTCATTGTATATAATATTTAATCTGTAGGACTTTTTAAAAAAAGAAAATAAGATTCCTGAGTGAACCAAAAAGTATACTATTTTTTTATTTATAAAAAGTATTTTTTAAATACCGTTACAGGGAAGAAATAAAAAACAACAATGTTTTTATAGTTGATGTATCAATAAATCGATGTTTGACTTTCATTGAAAGCGGTTTTGGACATCAATAAATTGATATTTTTATATTAGAAGCCGCAGGGCTTAATGGAGGTATCATGTGGCCCGTAGAATAAAAAGTATAGAAATACCTTTTCAATTCCATAGTATATGTAACCATACAAATGTTTTTCGCTTGACCTCTAATAATTTGGACTTTATAGCCCCTTAATAAACTGTTGGATAGTTGCAATTACTCAGCTGAAGAAAATTAAATTTGTTTTTTAAAGAAAACTAAATCCTATCTTACTTTTCAACCAATATAGAGGACAATTTTTTGTAAGCAAACATCAATGTTGGCAATAATATAAAAATAAAAAAAGCTACCTAATGCTCATTTGGGGTCAGAAAGTAATTTCAAAAAAAGTTTTAGGACACGGACAATTTGGGGGTGTAGCTCACGCCAAATGGCTCAATATTTTTGAAGGCCACCTTTGTAATAATATTTTTCTCGACTTAGTGCTCAAGTTATTTTACAATCCAAGTGTTAGTTTATTTATTCTAGTTATTAAAAACTATAAAAATAATATGGTGGGTGTAATTTTCTCATCGAACTGAAATGAAATGACCCTTATATGAATAAACATGTTTTCCTAATATTACCATCCATCTTATGAGAGAGCTACCACATGGGTAAATTAGTTGTTACAACATTATTTTAAAGAGATTATTTATCAGAACATATTTGATACCACCTAAATACTCTAAAAAGAGCTTATAAAGAAGTATTATGTTGAGTTAGAATAGAAACCAACCCCTCTTTTTTCCCGTCACCACAGAGAATCAGAGTAAAATATTTACTTACTCGCTTTGAAACTATGGTCCTAGAAAGACCTAGGCATCCTTATCAATTTCTTCAACCCATACCAATCTTGAGTGATCTTCTTTCAATATCTCATATGACTGAAATTTTCTCCAAACAGTCAAGTCATTGTAGCTTGTGTGTTTCATTGCTTTACGCTTGCTGGCATTCCACAATTCTATGTACCCCCGCCAAGATGTTCAAGGTGGCTTTATTTTTTTACTAAACATAGAGTGCCAACACTGTAAAGGCAATAAACATCTCTGGTGTGAGAATGTGAACTGGCTGATATAAGGCAACAATAAAAATGAACAAAAATTAAAACAAAAGAAAAATTGAAATAAAACAAAAAAATACAAGCATTAAATTATTGCGAATTGGTCCTATTTCTTTCTATTAATAATTTGTCTATTTGTCATGAAAATTTGAAAATGTCAGTTTTCAATAATGAATGCTCAGTCCTTTCTTGTCCAGGGCATTTTTATGAATTATCTGCATGCCCTTACTAATTTTCTTGTTTATACCTCTTCAATGTCATTTAATACTTCTTTAGAAATTAGAATGTGCTTATATAAAATGTATATCACAACTTATGTATTACATGGGAAACACAAATACACAAATCATAAATTATTTATACCAAAATTTGTATGCAATCAAATTTGAAGTGTTGTTTAGTTTATTTGTCCTTTATCTTTAAAAATTCTTTGGCAAATAAAAAAAATAACTATACCTTCTTCTCATAATGAAAGATAATAACTATTTCAATAAACTTGTTTTCATTTGAGACATCACATTATCATGTAATCATCCTGTGGACATATACCTAGTTCTGCCATAAATACTGTTAGAAAAGTTAATTTGGTTTACATCCTTGGGTATTCTATAGATAATCCTTACCTCCATCAGGTTATTTTCTTTATATGTCAGGATAATAACCCCAATTAGTTTGTATTTTTTTTCCGCTCAATTGACATGGAGTGGGGTGAAAAAGAAAATCGAATAGCTGTGATCCCCTTACACAAAGTTGGAAAATGTAGGTCAGAGATTTTTAACACTTTGAAACCTTTTCTGTACCAGCTGTATATTTGTGTATCACACTATAAATAGATATAATGGGACCCTATCTGTATGTGACAGACAGGGCCGTCCCCGCACTATGAGAACGGCAAATGCAGGGAGAGCAGTCACTAATGACATGCGGATCTGGTGCTGGCTTTTGGAGAAAGGATGAACCAGATGAAGGCATGTCAATATCACTTAGCAAATATGCAATGGTATTCCAATCTGAAATACTAGTGATAAGTCACAGTACCTCAATATTTTTACTTGATGGGTTGGTGGGGAGGAAAACTTCCATCCATACTGACATTCAAGCGGAATACGAGTGCTGAACAATTATACAACCAGATCTAAGGCTGCAAAGGATTCTGTAGGAATTCTCAATGACCTATCTAGATTCAATAAGGTAAACATTGAATAGGTTCAGGGTCACTTTGGAATTCATAGTAATGAGATGGCGGATATTAGCCATATTAGGCTCACAAGCAATTCCCATAACTCCTAAAGCCATCTGTGGAATTAGTCTGTGTCTAATAAATAACAGGATTAGGGAGATCTACGGTGCTGAAGCCAAAAAATATTGGTGCTTAAAAAAAACAGAGTCACTCTAAATTGTTCCTGAAAAGAATCTGTCCAAAAAGAAGTAACCTACTAATTAACTTGAGCAGGAGCTCACTTAAGAAAATTACAGCGGTATATACTGGACACTGTAAACTGAATTATCATATGTTCAATTTCCAGCTAACGGATTCGTCACTTTGTAGATTTTGTGCTCAGGAGGATGAAACAGCTTATCATATCACTTGTTGATGTGACAGGTTTGCTGAACTGAGATTCCGATTATTCGGCATTAATAGGGTGATTGATCCCAAGACAAACAAGCTTACTTCAGTTTATTGAGACTGCATGAATTATACTCCAATAGGACGAACTTTAATAAAGGGGTACACAATAGGCCTTCATGGTCACGGTGCATTCTTGCCACAATATATATAAAATAAAAAACTGCCATTGCATAGTTTAAAAAAACTATTTGTATCTATACTTAGTTTTTCGAGAGAAAATACATCTGATAATTTATTGAACATGAAGTTACTAATAATTATGATAATAAATAACAAACCACATCAATTATTATAACGGATGAATCTTAGAAACCCTTATCGACCTAATTAAGAAAATTTATCGTAAAACATGTCTTCATACACTAACAGTTGTGATAATCGCTTCTGTTAGTGCAAAAGGTAGTATATAACAATTTTACATGTTAATTCTATTTGTGTTATAGGTGAAATTTTGTAGTCTGCAACTGCAATAAATAATCGGCTACTATGGAAAATAGTATAGATAAATAAAATATGAAATTATACTAATAAATCATTAAGAAGTAATCAGTTTTATGCTCTTTAGTAAAAAAACTCAATTTTTACATATGACCTTTTACAATAACGATATGAAACTTTTTATTTTGTTATCAGTTTAAAGTTATCTTCAGATAAACAACCCCTTATTTAAATACAAAAATAAGAGGAACTAACTGCAGTGTATAAAAAGGTAAGTTTGATAAAAACGGTGATAAATTAAAATAATTTATCTTTAGCTGCAAATATGGGTTGAAAATGATTAGGGCAAAACTACATTTTTTTTTTATTACAATTTCAAAAAACAGCACTGGGGGAGGGAGGGCAGTGTTGTATTGTATAAATTGTAAAATTTATGGCCTGTAAGATGAAATTCAAAAACTATTTATCAGAAGTTTCCTTCATTTTTTTTTTTTTTTTTTTTTTTTCCCGCAGAGATCCTGATATTTTTACTGCTTGGTTACACTTTTAATAATGCATTTATGGATAATGCAAGAAAATTTTGGATATTCCTCCACTAGTAAAAGAAGCATTAGTTAGTCATGTGCTATTCTTAAGAACATTGTTATACACTAGAGATAACAAACCTGGAACTCTTGCAAGAGCAGCTTCTGCTCTAGCAGCAGCAAGTGCCTCTTCGTAAGGAGGTGGAGCTTCACCTCGATAAAAAGTTGGCTTCCAAAGTGGATAGCCAGCACCAGTTCCTTCAAAATGATGTTCTGGCAAGTATCCCAAGCTTCCTGCAATGTAGCCAATACTGCCAAGACTACGCTCTTCCTCAGTTAGTTCTCTATCTTGCCGACCTTAAAAAAATAAATTATTAAAAATATGAATAGAACTTCATTAGAATACATAGACATGTGCAATGATGTTACCTCTTATTTTCCTTTGTCTTAATCTATGAAGAAGAAAGAAAAGCAGAGAAAGTGAAAGGATAGCTGTGATTGCTGTAGCTATAAGACGTAAACCAAGCTCTGCACTGAAATCATGTTCTGGTTCAGGTTTACCAAGAGTATCATCCAAACAAATAAAATCACAGCATGAATTGCCAACACGGAAAGATTTACAGTTCTAGAACAAAATTTATGTCCTATTATAAGTACAAAAAATATATATCGATGTTTAAAATTTAGATAATAATATTGTATAAAATCGTCTGTCAAGTAAATCAGTATTGCTTCCTCACCATTTTTATTAGCTACATAAAAAAAAAATACTCATATATATTAATACTCCAGTAAGATTATAATTTTATTAAAAACTAAATAGAAGAATCCAATAAAAATATTTTTAATAAATCATTACATTTAATATCACCTCCCATTAAATAATGATTTGTGTCCTTTGGAGTATCAGAGTGCTGAACCGTTAATAGAAGAACAGAGTAAAGAGGAACTTGAAGTAGCTATAGGAAAAATTGAAATCATATTAAGCAGCAAGAACCGATAATATTCCTATTTAACTAATTAAGGCATGGGGGGAAGCAGGAGTTTCTAAAATACATTTGTTACCAATTCGTAAAAAAGACTCGAGAGTGGATTGTAATAACTATCGAGGAATCTCACTCCTTCCGGTGTGTTATAAAATAATGACATTAATCCTTACCAACCGAATCACGGAATATGCTGAGGAAATTATTGGAGACTATCAATGCAGATTTAGACAGAACCGTTCAACTATTGATCAAATATTTTCTTTACGGCAAATTTTGGAGACAAAATTAAGAGTACAATGGTGTTGTTCAGCAACTGTATATCGATTTCAAAAAGGCTAACGATTCTATTGACTGCCAGAAGCTGTATAATATTCTAATCGAACAGGGGATTCCAAAAAAATTAGTATATCTAGTTAAGATGTGCTTGACGGAAATATTTAATAAAGTTATAATGAGTAATTATTTATCCGAAAAGTTTGAGGTCTATTCTGATTTAAAACAAGGTGATTCCCTTTCACCTGTCCTGTTTAATTTCTCATTAGAACATGCCATTATGGAGGTAATGCATATCGAAAAAGGATTAGATCTGGGTGGGACAACACCCATGCCATACTTAGCTAAGGGGATGATTTGGTCCTATAAAGGAAATACACAGAAACTATAAAATTAAATACGACAACATTAATCAACATGGGTAAAGAACTAAGACTAAAAATAAACACGGATAAGAAAAAATACTTGGTTAGCTGCAAAAGTGGCGATAATATTGATATATAAGGTAATATGTTTGAACATGTAGAGAAGTTTGGGTATCTAGGGACTATGATAACTAAGAAAAAAGAAATTAAAGAGGAGATTAAGGTTAAACTGAAGGTGGGAAATGCTTGTTATTTTTCTGTGAACAAACTACTTAGCTCGCGCCTCCTGTGCCAGAACTTAAAAACTAGAATCTATAACCATTATCCAACCTATGATTCTTTATGGACGCGAAACATAGCCGTTTACATTAACGGATGAACAACGTCTTAAGATTTTTGAAAATAATGTATCGCACAGACTATTTGGGCCGAAGAAAGATGAGTTAACGGGAGAGTTTAGACAGTTACACACACAATGTCGAATTGCGTGAACTGTATCTGGTTAATATAATTGAGGTGATCACATCGCAGAAAATTAAATGGGCTTGTAAAATTGTTCCCTCTACTTATGAGACACCTTGTATACAGCGAGGAACTTAAAAATATATATTTATGTATATTTTAGAATATAACAAATGTGGTTCCAAGTAGTCCAATCCATGTGCGTCTCACCTACTACTGTTAATATAATATTCATGAAATTTTCAGAGATTATGCAGGTTGGTACCTAGATGATCCCATAGATTTCATCTAATCTAATACTTTCATTTACATTATACTAGCTGATGTATCCGTCATTCTAAAAGTGGGGTATCTGTAATATAGTTAAAGGATATTAAAAAATATTCGCAAAATAATTTATCATTTTTTTAAAGATAAATTAGCTTAGTTTAGCTGTTAAGAAGTCCTCTTTAAATGATATTAACCAGAGCAAATTCTACTTTCATTTGATGTTAATTGTGTCTAGTTTACAGTGAAGTAATTTTTCATTACTTAAATTAAATTAGTTTTTAGATATTTCCTATTCAACAAAAAATGTGACTTAATTAAAAAAACACAAAATTATAATTCCTTATTTTTCTGCTGGAAATCGAGCCATTTCCCTCTACTTACATGACACTTTGTATATATAGAAATATGATATAATATACTAATAGACTGATTAGAGATCCACTATGCAGATTCTGTTACAGTGAGAATGAAACAGCCTTCCACATTGTGTGTCAGTATGATAGGTTTGCAAGGCTCAGTTTCATGAGGACTCAGAGAGTGAGCCCAAGAGCTATGAGTCGATTAACTCTATGAGCCTACTTAAATATGCAAATGCGACGAAACTAAGGTTTTAACAGTAAACAGCTCATAGATGGCACACAATAGACCCTTGTTGTCACGGTGCATCAACGCCAAAAGAAAAAACATATATAATATTTGTATATATATATATATATATATATATATATATATATATATACATATATATATATATATATATATATATATATATATTGTTAATCCATAGATTTATATTGTATTAGGTGCATTAATATAACAAAAATCATGTAAATCAAAAACATGCAGGTTCAAGATTGTCAATGAGTGATGATTTGACATGGATTAATCCTATAACTAATAATTATATTGGTTCAAAATTGTAATGACAACAAACATATTTACCTGTGGTGGTGAGCAAAGAACAGCTTTGCACCATTTTGGGCTTCCACTGTCACAGACACAAAGTGTACATGCATCAGGACCAGGCACAAAATGAACACCTGGTTCAATTCTATGATTGTTGAGATCAACACAACTCAGCTTCGATTGAACCTCCATTGCCTAAATAAATAATGAACTATTCATTCATGTTTAAGAAAGGACATAAGGGGTCATTTTTAAATTGATCGTTACTGTCAACATAGGCACAGACTTTTCATTCTGGTTAGGGGAGTGACGGACCTCCCCTTCCCCAAAAAAATCTAGAGAGTTTATATTAGATATGTATAAAAATATGAGTGATAATTAATATAATCAACGTAATTATTATAAAACGAACATTATGATACTATATATAAAAATAAATTTATATATTTTTTCAAATATTAGTTTTTTTTTTTTTTACGCTTAGATAAATTGTGAAAATGTTTGAACAAAGCAATTGAATATATTACATATTTTTATTTTCATTTAAAGGTTTGAGGAAAAGAGACGAACTTTAAATTTTTCGATGTTTCAAATTTGCCACAGGAAATGTGATAAAATCTTCATGTAAAATGGTGCCCATGAATGAATCATAAAATCCTTGGATATGTTGGTACATATTATCTTTAAATATAAACTAAAGTTTCAATAATAGAAAAATATGGCTTTGTAAAATATTTGCATATCAACTTCTAATGGTGGAATGCATAGTCGTCCCTTATACTCCACTATTTTATTATCGTCCCTAAAATACTGGTGGTCAGAGTCCACCCCTTTAACTTCCCTTCTACTATAGGGGACATTTAGGGCAGATAGGGCCATTCATCGTACTCCTCTTTAATCCTTCCACTCACTACAACTTATATTTAACTGATAGAAAATGTAATTATGTGTTATTATTATGATTATTTTTGCTATCATTATACTTTTAAATACCTGCAGGGCCTAGCCTTGCGCATGGCTAGTAGGGATTAACGCTCCTCCAGGTACCCGAGTTCAGTACACAGTACAAATACACACATAACACTACACTATATATGTAAACTGACACAAGGACACCTACACCACTCACCCTAGGGCTTCCTTCCCTGAGGAGGAGGAGTAAGTCTGGATGCTCTGAGGAGGCAACCCCTCTACCTGACTCAGTAGTACTGGGCTAATAATCTGCTCTCCTTAAATATAAACTATTATGAGACCTCAAAGAAATAACACTGGACTGATCAATAGTAACAGACTTTGGACTAGGATATTGGAATATTCCAATATTGGAATATACCTATCGACTTTAGGTCCTCCTAGCAGAATTGGACAACTATAGAGTGGACATAGCCGCTCTCCAGAAGGTTCGCTGGGTGGACAGCGATCTTATTGAGAAGAAGAACCACACTATCTACTATAGCTGCCACGAAAAGAATCATATGTTCGGAACTGGATTCGTAGTGAGACGGCGAATGAGACACCAACTTATTGGATTCTCTCCCATTAATGAACGACTTTGTATCTTCGTATCAAAAGGGTGTTTTATAATTACATCCTTATCAGCTGCCATGCTACTACCAAAGTATCGAGTGAAGAAGAGAAGGAGAACTTCTACCATACATTTGAAAGAGCTCATGACGTATGCTCTAGGAGTGACATAAATATCCAGTTGGGGGATTTTAATGCTAAAAATCCGGAAGGAAGAAATATATATACCAACCATTGGCCTCCACAGTATCCATGAAGAGAGCAAAGACAATGGGAAAAGAGTTGTAAATTTTGCTGCATCTCTAAACATGATTATAGGAAGCACAGTATTCCCGGGATGACGAATCCATAAGGGCACATCGAAATCACCTGATAGAAGTACATTCAATCAGATAGATCATCTGCTAATTAATACATGATACAGATCTAATCTAATAAGCAATAGAGTATATAAGTGTGCAAACACAGATTCTGACCACTATTATTTGAGCATTGCTCGGATTAGGGCGAGAATCTCTAGTGTAAAGATATGTAAATCAGAAGCACAAAAGAGGTGAAATATAATGAAACTGAAAGAAGCTGATACGTTCACTTCCGTTTAAAAACTAATAATTGAAAGAATGACCGATGAACTACGCACGGTCAATTTAGATAATATTTAGGATACATGGAATGTTCTGGAAACAGTCATAACCAAGACAGCAGAAGCTACCCTTGCATTTAAAGATCCCGAAAGGAAATCCCCGTGGTTTAACGAATAATGTAGGAGGGTAACCGAGGCAAAGAACGTACCCTACAGACTGATGGTACAGAAGCGGTATACAAGGCGGGCAACAGAAAAATATAGAATGGAGAAGTATAAGGGAAGTTGAAAGGATGGAATCTGACCACCAGCCTTTTAGGGACGATAAGGGAATATTGGACGATAAGGGATGACTAAGCATACTGTCATATGTCTTAGCTTAGCTATCTAGTCAACTTTTCCTATTTCCTTAATTGATTTTAGTTCACATATTTTATTCATTTATGTAGATTGATTTTGATTTTATTTTTGACCTTCGAAATATTGGGGGGGAGGGGTGAAATGATATTCTTGTCCTCTCTATTTTTATTGGGAGAAAGTGATTGCTCGCCTCCTCTTCCCCCTGAAGTCTGCACCTATGACATCTATGACAGTCAAATTCTGGAAAAAGTAAAATGAAAATTTTAATTCATGATAACTGCCCTGGGGCCTTACAGTTCAGTAAACTTGTCATCAAAAAGAGATTCAAAGTTGCATCAAGTGGTGGTAGAATGTTTTGTTTCTTTTTTCTTATAAGGGATATGAAACTCAAGGTTTCAACATCGGAAACCCCTCCGCCTCCCTGATCACTTTTGAACATTTCAAAACCTGTTAAATTTTTTAACTTTTTTCACTTTATATCCATTTTCACCATGAAGGATCATGTTGTAGACCAAAAATATTTTATATATTTCTAAACTAGATTAAATTGTCTACAATTTAACACCCAACCTAGTAGGGTTCAAACTAGATATTTTCAAAATGTATCACATTTTTCAAACTTGAAAATTTTAAGCTATAATAATTTTCATGTTTTATCATACGCAATTGTCTTTATATCATCACTAAATTGTCAGATATTAGTCAGTGAAAAATTATTTATTCAATTTAACATTTTTAAGGAGGAGTGGAGGAGGGGGAAGGTTTGATGGGAGAGGGGTGGTTCACTGTGTACAACCAGACAAACGAAATTGAAATGTAAAATTTATTTGACAAACATTTACATCAAATGTATAAAAAATTGTAAACAGAATGAATGGAAATATAAGGCATTTCCTTTTATTCAAAGAACTAGGACCAAGCATATCTGCCAATTCTTTTTAATGGCATAAATTGATATTATATTATATTAGGACTTCTAAAAAAAGTTTTACCTTGGGATATTCAATAAATAAACATTTTCATTCCATGTCAGCAAGTCCTGGACGATGAATATGGTACGATAAAGGAGAAAATGCTGCTTCAACTTATTGGAAATTTACAGAAATATACAGGATGAAATGTTATTAGTGAATGATAGTGTTTAAGTCCTGGAGAAACACCAAGAACACGAGTGAGAGAAGGACTTCATCCCAAAAAAGTAATGTCTGTTTGGTAGGATGTGGAAGGAATCCTTCATCACGATATTTGATCTTGACCAAACTATCACTAAAGACCTAAACCAAGATCAGCTGGATTAAATACTCTACTAAGATCAGCTGGATCGAATGAACAGGTGATTGAGGAAAAAAGCTCCTACACAGGCTTTTAAGGCTCCTACATACAGAGTGTACGGGCGATATGATACCCTTTGTCAATATCACTACGGATTATCATGCTCTGTGTGAATGCTTAATACAATAGATAGCAATAAAACTATATTGCCATCGACAGGAATATTGTATCGCCGAGACCTATCGCATTCTGTGTGTAGGAGCCTTAATCAATAGTTAAGGCATTTTATTCCTTATGTCATGACAATGCGAGAACACATATTGAAAAATTGAAGGATTTTGGATGGCTAATTATTCCTGACCCACCATATTCTCCTGCCTTCAGACTATCACCTTTTTCAAGTCTCCGAAACGCATTAAGAGGCAGGAGAACATGAATTCAGTAAATGAAGTGAAAAATGAAGTGTTGACTTTCTTTAATTAAAAACTGAAGAGTTTTTTTTTCAGAAAAGGTATACAAAATTTGGTTTCAAGATGGCAAACAAAGAACATAAATGTTAGAATGAATGTGTTTCGTTGATTTTTTCTTACCACTTATATTACACAATAAAATACCAAAGATACTTATGGGATGACCTTATATATACTTCATGAATTTTTCTTCCTTAAATAAACAAAAAAAATTAGTTTAAAAAAAGAAAGAAGTGTTTTCTTTGTCCCAATACTTCCAGAATGTTTATTTCTTAATCCTGTCAAAAATAACTTAATTTCGTCAAAAAGAGTAATGATTAATAAGTAATAACGATTATAAATTCAAAACATAACAATTAAATTAAATAAAAATTCAAGGTAATAATCAAACTTTTTTTTTTTGTCTATAAAATATGTATTTGCGCCTGTCAACTTATTGTTGACAATCAGCAAATGTGATGGCGATACATGATATAATGACATGACAGGCATGATCTTAAAATGTGATTGACAATTGACTATGCGAAAACTAATGTGTTACAATGAAAAACAAAGGCAAATAAATTCTTACCGTTTGTATGTAGATTAAATACCAATCATATTCACTCTTGAGCAACAGAAAAATAATGTATATCTTCTTATTTTATCAATATTTTGTGAATAAACACAGATATATCAAGATATTTCAGTCATTGCCAGATCTTCTATTGCAGCCTGGAAACAGATAAAAGAATAAGTACAAATATGTAGAACATTAAAATTTAATTTAAAAATCATTAAAATAATCCTAATAATTGGGGCACAAAGTATGATTGTTCTGAGACAAAACAAGTTTATTATCAGTAGGGAAAGGAATTTATGTATTAACATAAATATTTTATGGAATAGCTAGTGGTGGACCTATGTTGTCGTTCAAAACGTACAAAATAGACCAAACGTAGGCTATAAATAAATATTACATCAACATATGTGTGTGATTGTTGACTACATTCCCCCTCCCGAGTAATTGTTCCTTATATTAAAACTATTTAATCAATCATTTCTGTACTAACATAAATATTATTCATTTGTTGTAACTACCAGAAGAAATAAAAACCATAAAAAGTGGGTAATCAAGTATTGATCAGTTATGTAAACATAAATCTTTAAAGTACAATCTTTTAAATAATACAATTGAATAATTCAGTACATATAAATATATTTCTTTTAAATTAGTACATATAAAGTACACAATTAGTACATATAAAGTACACAAATTAGTACATATAAAGTACTGAATTTAAAATTCTTTTAAATTCAGTACATATAAATATATTTCTTTCTCTTCTTGTACATATAAATATATTTCTTTTATTCTTTTAAATAATACAATTGAATAATTCAGTACATATAAATATATTTCTAATGCGGATGGATGAGAACCGCTGGCCAAAGAAAATCTATAACTATATGCCACCTGAAAGAAGGAAGCGTGGAAGGCCAAGGAAGAAATGGACAGAGGACGTGGAGGAAAGCATGGCAGCCAGAGGGCTTCGTGAGGGAGATTGGATGGACAGGGAGCAGTGGCTTTTGGGTGTTGGGGATATGACTCCTTGAGTTGTGCAAAACCCAAAAAAAAAAAAATAAATAAATAAATATATTTCTAGATGAATCATATTATTTACAATTAAATGTACAATTATTAGCTTCTAACATAAATGTTGAGTATATTTACAATAATAATCAGAATCTCACTATTTTTTAATAAAAAGTTTTTTGTTCCTTCTATACTCTTATAAAATAAAAAAATGAACTATTGGAAATACAAAAATTGATACTTTATGCATTAATTATTTAATAAAGAATGAAACATTTGTTATCTTATGAGTTTCACCACTACTTTCTCTAGTATGCTGTACTATTTTAATAACAACAAATTAACATTTATTGTTTGTATGTTTTGTATCCTGAAGAAGACCTACAATATAGGTCTTAATGGAGGAAAATTCAATAAAAAAATACTATTTTTTTTACTATAGTATTTTACATATTGAACGCACTCGTGATTAACTTCTTCACAAATTAGAACTACGATCAACCATATCCATATAAATCCACTCCCCAGGAAAAATCTTGTGCCTCAGATATATATACATGTATTTACAAAGTTAACTAATATATATAATAGAGAAAAAAAAAAAGTTATCTTCTAGATTAAATCAATTAAGAAAAAAATAAATAATTGAAAGAAAAATGAGATAAAAATAAACTAATAATATATATACATATTTACAGAAGTTTCTATTTACAATTTTAGAGGGATTGGATGGAAAGAAAGTTTTTGAATAGGCGGGATTTAAAAATAGGGTGAGTACTGGAGGGAGGGATGGAGTTCCATAGGGATGAGGATCCAATAATGAAAGATTTATCAAAAGCAGTGGTTCGGTGGGCCATTATATATAAATCTGAAGACCGGGAACGGGTATTGTAGGAGTGGACAGTGGATTTAAATTGAAGAAGCTCAGAGATGTATGAACGAAAACGGGGGTGAATGACTTGGAAAATGAAGGATGTCAGCAAATAGTTACGGCGGTAGGAAGGATAAAGCCATTCAACTCTTCATAGAAACAGGAACCAGGGGTGTCCTTTGGGATCCCAAAGATGAATCGTACAAAGCAATTTATCAAACATTTTAGTTTCGCCTCGAGATCCCCGGAGACGCCTCCATATACCGTGCAGCAATAGTCGAAGTGGGGAAATATTAAGGAGGTAAACAGGAGTCTACGGATTTCAAAAGGAAAAAGGTGTCGGAGGCTATTCAAGTGTTTTAGGGTGGAAAAGGTACTGTCGGGAGATATTGGATACATAATTTTCCCAGGAAAGGGTTTGATCAAAGATTATTACAAGGTTTTTGATAATGGGATAAAATTTGATGGGATTATCATGTAGGAACAGGGTTGGAATATTAGGAACAGTTTTGAGGAGGTGATTGGAGCCTATTAGCATTGCCTTGGTCTTTTCTGCATTCAACTTCAACTTGTTAGCTTCTGCCCAGTCATATATTCTATTTAAATCTTCTTGAAGCTTTTTTGTGGCAGCTAATAGGTCGGAACGGGGGAAGAACAGGTATATTTGGGAATCGTCAGCATAGATGTATTTCTATATTATTATTATCTATGTAAATAAAATAAAGAGTTTGTTTGTACATTAAATATAATCAACCCGTTTGATGATATTTTTCTGTTTCATATATTGCAGACACCAAAACCACTTTTAAAAAAAATTTTTGTCTGTGTATCTGCATTGCAACAAAACTTTGTCAGGGGTAAGCTCAGCAATGGGTTATAGTAGACTTTTGAAATTTTGACATAATATAAAGGTTTGCTTGACTTAAAACATAGACTTTAAATGAAAACAAAATATTGAGTAGAGCCAAAGTTATGAATTCTTCAGTAATTTGTTTAGAGATCCCGGTTAGGCAGTTACTTCGATTCTAATCCCAACCTACTCTACCGCGAGTAACATTTACAAGTTGTACTACTCAACTGATGGGAAAAATTATCACAACTCAATGGAAAAAATCCGGGTTGTCACATAAAATGGGTAAAACACAATCATTTTTCAACTTTGTCCAATCTTCCCGTTCAAGTTGTCATTCAATTCAACTTCCCGAGCCTAACAAATGTTGTATACATTTTTAGGATTAACCAAACGGATCAGCTGGAAATTAGAAAAAAAACTTTAAACATTTCATCCCAACCGCCACAATATTCAGATCAAGTTCTAATTTTACACAGATGTAGGTGACTCAATGTCCCATGTTATTTTGCCAGCGATAAACTCAGCAGAATTTTAAAGAACTGGAGAGACTACAACTCTTTTTGATTAATTAATCGACTCCACAATCTCCTCGCTTCATCATAAACGAAAATTAACCTAAACAAATAGCTGAGTAACAAGGTTTTTCTTATGACTATTGCGAAACCTTGACTTCCAAAAGCCCCGCCATAAAAAATTTCAAAACAAACCCCTCTCTCCACCCGACCCAATTTTATGAAATTGAATTTGGACCCTCCTTCACCCATAATACAAAATCCATCTCAAAAAAAGATTCTCAAATTTTAACTATACACCCGTCAACGATGGGTACCTCAGCTAGTTATTCTATAAATTTAGACCAAGTTATTTAAACAACTTCGAAGGAATTGACTGCTCGGTAAGTGAGTTAATTAGAATGAATTGGAATTGTTGCCAATAATGTTTATCTGATATACCTATCTAAAACCTTCTTTAAACGTATCCACTAAGAAGAAAAATTTGGAAATAATACTACATAAAATAAAAAGAATCGAGTTAACACTAAGCAAGAAATTGAAACATTTGAGGGTTATTCTGGATCACAAAATGTAATGTCATAGGCATATAATAATCACAACTAGTAAAGCCCTTAAAGATCAATATGCCTGTAAAAGAGCTGTGGGAAAAAAATATGGGCTTATATCATACATGGTTTATGGTCCACATATGGTACCTGTATGCAGCTGTGCTCATGGCTTCTGTGCTCTGGCAAGGGTTGGCAGAACAAGGATATATAGGAAAAATGGATATCTCTTAACAAAACTGCAGCGATTTACAAAGGTGATTATAACTTAAACTGACATATCGCTCCTGTTTGAGCAAAAGGTAGTATGAAATAATTTTATGTTTATTCTCTTAGCGATAAAAGTGAAATTTTGTATTCTGCAACTGCTATACTTAGTCTGCTAAATAGGGAAATAAAATATGAAATATTACAGAAATAATCGATTTTTATAAATGACATTTTGCACTAACAGTAGTGATATGTTATAACTCAGGTTGACAGAGTAATCTTTGTATAGGTTTTTTTTTTTTTTTTTTTTTTTTTTTGTTTCCAGTTAGCATGAAAATGCCTATCATATTACCTGTTGGTGAGACAGGTTCTGGTTGTTTGGAGCGGATCATTCGTTGAATCCAAAAGAATGTGAGTTTGTCAAGCCAACAAGCCTCTTAAAATTCATTGATGCTACTGAAGTTTTGTTTTGACGAAAGCAGCTACTAGCTTATGGTGCACAACAGGCCTGATGAGGCCACAGAACATGATGCCAGTTAAAAATTAAAAAAAGTATTCGTGTGTGTATCTTGTTTATTAAGTTATTCACAGATATTTTAGCATTGAGTGCGAAAGGAAAAGAGGCTCTGATAGTTGATCCTACTGTTAGATTTAAAACCAAAGATGAGGATCAAGATCTCAAAGTACAAAATAAAAAAAGAAGAAGTCTATAAAAATGCCTACCATACCTACAAGAGAAATATGGAGAGGAATTTCGTGAGAGCATATTCGGTTCGGGGACTATAGTTTAGGAGTAGAGGAGTGATTCAAACTTCAACTTCTGATTTTTTGAAAGAGCTAGATGTGGAAAGAGCCATCTGTAGAGTATTAAGAAATCTATTACTTTGGACTCATTAGAAATCCTGCACCAATACCTATATTAATTAGTACTTCGTTGTGAATACTATGAACAGAAGTGAGGGAGAGGAAAATGAGGAGAAACTTACAAAAATGGATGAATAAATTATAACATTCGGAAAGTTGGGCGATGGTCCCGTAATACTTTATCCTCTTTGTTCTTTTTTATTAAATGGTATCAATTAAGATAGGTCAATATGCTGGACATAATTTAGCAATTCCCAACAGCTGAGAAGCTGTACAATTTTATTGTGCTTCTATCTTTTATGTGAAAATCAAAGAAAAATAGACAAAATGCAGAATTTATTGCTTAATAAATCCACTGTGTTGTGATCAAAGATCTATTATATTAACCAACCCAAATTTAATCTGATTCAACTTTTGTATTATCAAGTCACTGGCACGGCTATGTGAAAATATCCATAAGGTGTAGGAGCCGTGATAAAGGCCTGCAAACTTAGGCTGTTTAATTTTATATTTTTTGCTATCATATTTCATATAAACACAGTTACTGGATGTAAACATAATAAGTTTTAAAATAATACTTACTGTTGATGAAATGGCATCTTAATTTCAAATCTGTTTATGTACTGATAATGAACCCAGAGGATTAAATTAAGAACTAATTGAGTAAGTTTGATGCAATCTTGAATTTCCTTGGACAGTCTGCAAATCTAAAAAACCAATTATTTGATACTTCCTAACTATGAAGGATATTATATCAAAGCAATAAACAAAACTATACCTTACATACTTCCTCAATCCTAAAACTTTTATATGAATACATTTTTAAAAATAATTTCATGCTATTTTTCAAAGGATCGATATTGAAATTGAAGCACTTGTTAAACTACATGGATAAGTGTGGCTGAAAAAAGAAGTGTAGTTTGTAATAAAAAGAAAAAAAAGTTTGAAACTCTAAGAATTTTTTTAAAGTCATTCCAGTAATGCATGCAGGTCCAGACTTGGTTTGGTGAGAAATTAAAACACCAATGTTTTAAAAATTTTACACGACATTCCATCAGGATGCTTTCATAGTCTTCAATCTTCTCAATTTATGAAAGTTAACAGCTCTATCTTCAAAGGGTGACTCTTTCTAATACTACTGAATTATCTCCGACAATCGGTCATATAAGTATTTATGTGACTAGATACATCACTTATAAAAGAAAAACAAAAAAAAATTCCAATTTCAAGAAAAAATGTTCTTTTGAAGTGTCCCATATCTATTACAAACTTTTAAAATTAAATATATTCATAAAATTTTCCTGGGAATATATTGTTTTTATTACAAAATTAGTTATTTACTCATGTTTTTTCCTCTTAAACAGATCTTTTTTGTTTAATATTCTTTTATGCTTAAGCAAAAATATATATATTACGGTGTAACAATTTTAATGGGATACATATTAGGTGGCAGCCCAGTAATTTGTTGAGATAAATTAAGTACAATGGTACTTTAAATAATAATTATGACAATAACAAAAAAAATTTATTTTTTTTAACATTCAAAATGAACTATAATCCAATAAATAATCAACTATAGTATATATACACACATATGTTACAGTACAATATATTCATCAATTTTCATATTTCTAATTCATCACTATTGAATCTAAAATTATCACAGTTAAATTGTAGCTTTTATAAAAAGTTTATCAAGACATTTCTCTTTTTATAGTATTCCTTCAATTAATACTTAATAAAAGATATAAAGTCATTATTTAAATAAATATAGAATCAAAACCACTGAAAATCACAAATCCTGAGAATTATCAAATAAACTGAGGGGCAACTACTTCCAACATGGATTGGATATAATATATAGCCACCAATTAACAAAGTTATTAAAAACTCATCAGTTGTTCAAGTGGTCAGAAAAATATTTCCACACAAACAGAAATTGTGTAAAATGATCACCGCCTAGAAATCCTGATTATACAAAATATTAACCCAATATCCAAGACTTTGGATCCTATTAATAAATGGATACCAGTGAATAAGAAGAAAGCTCAAAAATTGGCCTTTTCACATTTAACAATCCCTAGTAACAAACTTTCAGATTCACCTAGCAGTATTAGATTTTGTTTTACTTTTAGAGTCCAAACTGATGATTACCCTTGGTTTCCTTTTCTTAGCATCTTCTTTTATTCTAGCCATCATTATTTGCATACATGTATTGGCATCCTCGTAACTATCATGTCCTGACTCATTTTCTTGGATATTAATTTTTAAAATGTCTTTGGCAATCAACTTCAAAGCCCTTTTGTATGGCAAGCCCATATGGTGAGGGAAAACAATACTAGTGTCAACAACTGTTCTATGGAACAGCCTCAAAGCTTTGAAATCATTTTCTAATGAATGACCTACTAAAATTGACTTTTCATTAATAAGCTTCATTAAATCTCTTTGCACATGTCTTAATTTTTTTCTTGACTTTAGTACCATATCTTCAGTAATTCCACTAAACCTAGTATTGTAATCTAGAATTGGATGTTCAGGTACAATGACCTCATCATACACCATTTTCCCATTTACATCAACAATAGTACATCTTGTTAAATCTAGGCCTTTTGTCGTATAACACATTTCACAGTCCATGGCATATATTCCTGCTTTTTCTGGTTCTTTGTCTGATGGACGTGAGGTGATGAATCCTTCTAAACAATCTTCATCGTAACTATTACAAACATGATACCTTCCATTTGTACAAGCTTCAGAACCTATTTCACCATTACAGCACCTATAAAATTCAGTTATACCTCCTCTAACTCTTGTCCTAGCTAACCTACCCCAATGGTAAAAACAATCATATTCTTTAACTGGAAACCCCTTATCATCCACATAATAATTGTTTGAACAATTCGCACAAATTCTTAAATTAGGATCATCTGGCTGTTTCACATCATAACGTCTAGCACTCTTTTCAATATAACCAATGCCTGATTTTGATTTAATTTCAATAGGGAAACCATGACTAATGAATTCTTCTTCTTTCATTAAATACTCAGCAAAGCACTTATAGATGGTCCAACCATAAGTAAACTCTGGAATAGAATATGAAAAAAGAATGTTCGAAGACATCATTTCTATTTCTGAGTCACTTTTACCTTGTAATTTTCTAATTTTTAGCAAAGAGAGGGCAACAGCATTTTGATAAGTTTTTGGGACATGTACTCTTCTACAGATTTCTATTTCATCTGTTTGGGCCTTCACTTTCGCTTCTTCTTCTTCACAATACTTAAGATACTCGTCATATAAATTATTAAGGCATGACTGACGTATTGATACAGGGACCTTTATATTCTCTTCCATAATTAGGGATGGATAATTAATTCTTTCTTTTGAGGGCATATGTGCTTTTCTAAGACGCTTACCAGCATTAATATCTTTTTTGTCTTCAATTTTTTTAGAATTAGTGAGATCATCCTTAGTAGGCGACTTTGCTTTAGCAATAAGTTTATCTTTAGCATTTAATAATGATTTTACATTTGGAACATGAGCTATCTTAATTTTACCTGCAGCTGATGATTTCTTTACAGTTTCACGAGCTTTTTTCCAGCGATCTGAAAATAACGATGATGTAAACACAGCTGGAGTGACTTTCAAATCATCCTCATCTCCCTTAAGCTTTTTGGCAGGTGGTGGTGAATCATATTCAGATGCTGATGAAGATGGTCGTATATTTGTAGCAGAATCAGAATCACTATCTAAATTCAGTTTTGGCGACATTGAACAATCTTCAAAATGTTCAATAATAGGTGAGGAAGATGATGATGAATCAATTAGAATAGGCTCTTGTGGACACTGAATTTCTTCTAAATCCGATGAGCTACTAACTGAATTTTGTTCTATGAAAGCATCAGATTTATTAATTTCATGAGCATCAATCGAGACTTTTCTTGCTGGAATATCTTTTAATAACTTTTCCTTATCCAACAATGTTTCTCTTTTCTTATGTGATTTCTTTAAATCCTCTTTCACTTTTTCTTTTTTTTTATGCAACTTACTTTCAATTGATGTTAACTTTACAATTGTTTTATTATCTTTTGCATTAGATTTACTCTTTTCCTTGATATGAATAGATTTATCCTTATCCTTAACACACTTCTTAGATGTACTTTTAATTTTGTTCTTTTCTTTACTATGAGATTTGGAAGAACTATCATTAGAATGGTTTTTACTTTTTGAATGTTTTTCATGATTGGAACTGTGTTTTGAAGAACTTTCATTAGAATGAGTTTTACTTTTAGAATGGCTATGTTTGTCGTGGCTAGAGGTACGCTTTGAAGAATGGTCGCTAGAATGGCTTTTGGGACTGTTTTTTTCATCAGAAATACTTAATTTAGAAGTCTTATCTTTGTTGGTATGAGATTTAGAAATGTCACCAGAATGAGATTTACTTTTTGAATGACTATGCTTTTCATGGCTGGAAATATGTTTTGAAGAATTATCACTACTATGTCCTTTATTTTTTGAATGGCTATGTTTGGAAACAGGATGAGTTTTATTTTTTTGAGATGAATCTTCACTTTCAATAACTTTTGGTGGAAGTACTTTACACGGATTGTCAATGATGTCGGGAGAAATACTAGACTTTAACTCAACTTCCTTCTTTAATTTGACATTATCTTTGTCAAGTGAATCTGGAAGAGGTTTGATATCAAACTCATCTTCGATCAGTTTATCCAAAGCTTCTAGTGTTTTAAGATTACTTACTTCTAACCCATAATTTTTTTTAATATTAAGTCCACTATTTTCTTCAGTTGAAATTTGTATTTCATCATTAGTAACGGTGATATTGTCATCAGAAATTTGACTTGTAAAAAACCTATAAGAGCTAACATTTTCTGGTGAATAAGCTTCACAGCGAGTTTTGGATGATGAAGATGATGGAATATAAGTAGATGTAGGAGAAGAATTTTCACTCAAACTTTTAGGTGTATATAATACTGACTCCTTTATTTCCCTCTTTTTAAATCTGTCTAAATAAACTGGTCTTGTAGGGGCATAAACAACAGGTATATGTTTTTTATTCAATTCTGATATAGGAGTAGGTTTATAAGACGGGACTTCAACAGTATTGTTATATTCTTTGGTGTTTCCATCAATTTTAGATTCAATACCAGGTTGAAAAGTTTTAACGACATCTGTCACGATAGCTTCAGTATTCAAGCCTGAGGTTTCTGTCTTATCTCTGATATCAGTGTGGGATAACACATGTTTTACAGTTTCAGTAACTAATTCTTTGATAATATTAACATTACTATCTTTATCTGATTTAGACCCATCTTCTTCAGAAGGATTAGTCCTATCTTTTTTGCTATGTCTAAAATGGCAATGGGGCCTCTCGCAAATGCCAGAATCATAAAAAGGGCATGGCATGCCAGAAAAATATCCTTTAGAGGGAAGCATTCTTCAAACTAACACAAGGAGTCAATCCACTGAATCATTTATAACCCAACACAACACTGAACTTCACAAGTGTACACAAATACATTTATAAGCAGCATAACCCTAATTCATCTTATTAATGAAGGCATAAATATCTGCTTTTATATAACAAATAATTTTATGAATTAAAACAATTTAAATAAAACTGTCCCTATGTTATTAAACAACAAGCAACATAAAATTATAGAACTGTTTACACTTCTAACAAAATTTCACTAACTATATAATTTTATTAATATTTAAAAATCAATATACACTTCAGAAAAAAATAATAACTTCATAAAAACAAACAAAAGAACATATACATATTAAAAAAAAAGATAAATGTCTACATTCTCGTCTATTCATATTTGTACATATACTCTGTTACATACAAACATACATACATGTACGTTTCTGACATACGTTTAAGAAAACTGCTGATAAGAGTCTATTCCTAGTTCATTGAGTTATTTCAGCTCACATTTATTTAAACACCATGTGTCTATAAACATGAATTTGTACATGAATCACTTAATGAAAATAAAATCTTCCAAAAAAATATCGCTTCTCCTAAGGATGATCTCACATGAATAAAACTAATTTTATCTGCTAATGATGAACTATGGTGGTTTTTTAACATGCCTAAAAAAAAAAAAAGAAAAAATCTTTAGAAATTGTAACTTCAAATTAATACAAGTCAGATTACAAGTCAAATTCAAACCTGAAAACCTTCATTCATAAAAAATATAAACTGACATTAGAGGGGTGCTTAACAAAAACAGTGGATGTGGTGGAAGTTTAATAAACCATTGAAAATCACCAATTTCACAAAAACATATACTATTAAATATATTTTAAACTGAAGTTTAGCTATTTGTTAAAATTAATTTTTCTTTATCACCACAATGATAAGTCATAGAAATAACAAAAGTAATGTCAAGTTGGATCAAACAATATAACTAAATAATTTATTGAAATTCCCACAATAATACAGTAACAACTAATTTCAACCAAAACGAATAATCTTGAATTTCATAAACTAAACATTGACAGAAAATTAATAGGTAAGGCTAATGACACTTTTTTTTTTTAAATGAGTGCTTTAATATTTTATACTGCAATCAATCTGTTCAAATTTTACATTTGAATATTAAGGTTATACATTTTCGTTAACATAAAATTATAAATACTAGAAAAGAAAATTGAAATATCCAGGTGAAATTTACCTCAGGAGAGAATGAAACCTATCGGTACACAAATCTTCCACTAAGCAATATTAAGCCGATTTTCGTTGTCGAGTCACTTACTAACATTTTGCAATACAACTTGATTAAGTTACAAGTAAAAGTGAGTTCGCTAAGTTCCTCTAAAATTAACTAACGGATTAAGAGCTTTTGAGCCTAAAAGAAGATACTAATTCTGACATAATCACCGATCGATTGTAAACAAGGCTCGCTCAGGCCTGTGCAACTTTATAAAAATCCAGGGTAAAGAAACAGAGAGGTAGTATCTCAATAGAACTATACAACAGTCCTATCGATAATATTTGAACATTACTGCTCAGCGGGGGTTTGATGCGGTAAAGGTATTATCTCAGATTTGAAGAAAGGCAATTTATAAACAATCAGATTTTATTAACATAACAAACAAAGCACTAATTACAATTTGAACTCCTTTACTAAAAAATTCGATGGTTTGTAAGTCCTTTCAGTTTTCTAGTTTCAAATACGTAGCTTTAAGTTGTTGGCAGAACATCATACCTTTATACGTCTCATTTTGTTTTTTTTTTATATTTTTCATTAAGTCAGGCCAAATTAAATGAAATATTGTTTACAATTCAGACAAAGCTATAGTAAATCATTTTTAAAGGCTGTAGTAATAAGATTACTTATTGCACCAAAAGTACTTTACAGAGAAATTCAAATATATCTAAATCCAAAAGTTTAAGTTGAGTGCGGCAGATACTACGAGTGAAATATGCCTTCGATTCCGTGCGCTTAATTATACCGTTTATCTTCTCACATACTAACGTGTTTTCATGAGATATATAGTCATTTTAACGCTCTTTCAAATTGATTGTAAAATTTCTTCGAGAGATGCATAGATTATCAGTTTTTGAGGAAAAAAACGATAGAAAAAGATAATTCTTGAGAAATAAACAAATAGCCAACTTCCTCTAACTCCCACACCAAAAAGATATATATATATATATATATATATATATATATATATATATATATATATATATATATAATAGTAGAGTTTATCTCTTTCAACTTTGTACATAATAATAATTTCGATAAAATGCATAATTTCGGATTCATGTCCAAAAAACTAAAAAAAGTACAGAAATTTCGCTGTTTTTTGCATATATCTCGGAATACAACACTACTTGAATTTTTTCCACATCCATCTACCATTCGACTGGATTAAGTTGATGACTTTAGTGCCGGCAGTAGTCAAAATAATACCGAGTATATCGTCAGTTAAGGTGAATTCTCTTACAGGGACATATTCATAACATCATATCAATATTTCAGCTGTCTGTTTTTCCGTTAAATGAAACGTCAATTGAAAATTTCGCCGCTTTGATTTAAATTTTCATAAAGAAAGCAACAGCTTTCAACCAACTGAGCGAAGATGTGTGTTCAGATGAGGTTTTTCTAGAATTTAAAATGGTTATTAGCTTCAAGTCCTTCTGGTAAGTGAAATGGTATAAAGCTCCTAGTCTATAATACTAATAAAATCCAGCCTTCCTGTCCTTATTCCTGTTTTTTATCATATCTATAACTTTTCATTACAAAACTCCATATTCCCATCGTCCTTGAAAATTGCCCTAGTCCAACCTTTGAATAAAATTTCCAATCCTACCACACTGCACAACTTCCGTCCTATTTCTCTACTATCTAATCTTTCAAAACAGTTAGAACGCCTTGTCCAAAATCAACTCTCCAACTTCCTAGAGAAACGTTCCTTTATGAACCCACAGAACGCCTTGTCCAAAATCAACTCTCCAACTTCCTAGAGAAACGTTCCTTTATGAACCCACTCCAATTTGGCTTTTGACCTGGCTACTCAACGCAATCCGCTCTCCTTAAAATAACCCATGACCTCCAAAATTCCATTGAACACCAAAACCTTACTATCCTCATCCTTCTAGAGTTTTCCAAAGCGTTTGACACAGTTGACCATAATATCCTCCTTACTAAATTGCACAATCTTCCTCTTTCCAACAGTGCCTTGGTTAGCTCTTTTACTATTGCTATTCGGTATATGGGGGCGTCTCTGGAGATCTCGAGGCGAAACTTAAACGACGAAACAGTGGGCAGTTTTTTTAATTTTTTAAGAAACATCAACGATGAATTTCGAGGCCCATAGAATCCTGCTGTTAAATTTTCTAAGTTGAGAAAAAAATAATAAAACCGATATGGCTGGGCCAATCCACAAAGGGCCAACAGAGCAGATAGAAGTCGTCGGCAAGAGCAATACGAGATAGCTCAATACACTTATTATAATAGAAGAAAAAAAGTTGTTCAAAATATTATGGACGCCGACGCTCCTAAACAATGCCCTCTGAAGGTAGCCGAGATCGAAGGCCAATTCAGAAGCCTCTTTGACAATAAAAATCTCTGCAAACGTGCGGATTACGAAAATTGCGCCCTGACGCCAAATTTAATATCCATCAATGTCCAAGCGATAAAAAAGCTATAAAATCAACGTCATAGGATACATCGCCGAGGTCTGGCGGTGTTTTGATGCGCACGATAAAGTACTTCGAGGTATATCATATCATCAAAACTATTGAGGAGATTATGCTGTCGATGGCTTATGTAGCAGAGCCTCTACACCAAGAGCGTGCAATTCTAGTCTATAAGGAGAAAGAAAATGCCAATAGCATATCTGCATGGTGACCAATTACCATTTATTCGATTGTGCATCGAATTATTTAGGTTCTGGGTCAAGAGCTGAGAAAACAGATTACATTCAGCAAAAATCAGAGAGGCTTCATCAGGGGCCTACCGGGAGCACAAGAATCATCGACGCGATCATAAAAGATGCCAAAAATAGAAAGAATGCTTGCGGGGTGGTATTTCTTGATGTCGTCAGCGCTTTTGACAGCGTTGTTCACAATCATATAATCAGCTCACTGTATAATCAGAGGAGTGTCACCGGACCCGAAAAACGTGATTGGGCTCTGTCAAGATTGCAGTCGGAGCCAACTCGACAAACTGGATCAAAGTGCGGCGAGCAGTGCCTCAAGGCGGACCCTTATCGGCTTCGCTGTTCAGCCTGGCTCTAGACCATCTGTTTAATCACGGTACTTTAGCGTGAGCCAAATATTACCCATTGATCTGTAATTCAATTATGTTGCGCTGGTGATTGTAAAACTTGGTGTGGACTGTATGAGGTTGGATCATTGAAATTTGATACTTGATTAAACTAAACAAAATATTGAGAACATTATTATAGTGCATATAATTGAATAAAATAAAAGAAATACAATTTGTGCCTTTGTACGATTTTGTGGTTCTTGACAGATTATATACATATTTACTGATTGTGAAATTACAATTTTTAGTATGGCATTGTAATGTTAGAAGTGATTTTCTTTATTGAAACTGAATTGTCAATTTGGACTCACTTGCCGTCTGGTATAGAGCATCATGTTTTTGGCTCAACTTCTTCTTCCTCTCCATACTTCCTCCAACAGGTTGTTCTCTTGAAGTTTAGCAACTCATATTTTCTTTCTTGTGATTTCTGAGGAGAGTACCTGGCTGTGTGCACACTTCAGCTAATGAACAGATTAACTGAACATGAATGATTTGCAGCAAATTGGAGGCCATCAAATGGTGGTGATGTTCTGAATGTATTTCAGGGGTTGATCCCTGAACAAACCGTCTACGTAAATCAAGTATAGCTGATTTAAGATTTTGAATGTCTGATTGTGGCATATTTTGAGCAACCAAAAATAAATACGTAGAAAAAATGTTACAATATTATAAACCTAAGAAATTTTGAGTTGCATTCCGCGACTAGATGACCTTCGCACAAGCAGTTTCGGCAGCACTTGAGGCTTCTGACAAATGCTACTCTTTCATGAAGCGGTGAATTGCTGAATTTGAGCCTATGATTCTGTTGATAGAAAGGGCAAGTTGATGGCTATACTGTTTCGGTTGAGCTATTGTGGTTATTATATGGGATGGTGAAGATTGTGGCGCTCAGTACTATTGGTATTTGCTTTGGGTATTACCTTTGAGAATTCCTTAAAGGGCTTAGAGGCTTTGACGGAAACGAGCGTGCCTTCGGATCCAAATTTGAGTTCGAACTTGTGCCAAAGTTCCTTGAAATTGTAATTACGTTTTTCCTTTGACGGGCATAATAGATTACATTGGCCTTGGGGAACGATGTGCTTGAACTTCGGGAAAGTTCAAAATTAATCCGGGTTTGTTCATCTTGGGTTCTCAAAGCGAGGGACGTCAAAATGAATTCTGCCGGTTCTTCTAAAGACAATGAGTTGAAACCCTCAATGCTGTCAGATTTTGCTGATTTGCAATCACATTCTGATCCCGAAAGCACTTGCTTTTGGTATACGTGTTTATTGACTTTCGGGGGTTTCTTTAAAATGCTGAACCCCAACGCCTTGCTACCTGCAGCTGACCCATTCTTCAAAAGAATTTTAACGACTGTAGTAGAGCTCTCACATTAAGGTGGTCTGATCCACTCACAGTCTTTCTACGATTTCCGCATTATATTCAAATGTGGACAGGAACAGGGCATCCGGTACTTTGGACAGTCGCGGGGCAATGGACCAATACTGCAAAGGAACATCCCATTGACAGCGGATCAGTCCCAATCCTCGATATCTCCTCGGTGCATAAAACATCGCAGTTGATGTATTAGCGGGGAGCCCGATAATGGCCTTGATACTCATTTGTATCAATTCCTTGCAATGTCACAGAATGTATCTTTGTGAGGGTCGCCGTCTGGAGAGAGTAGGTAAGTCTCAGGAACACATATTGGTTGACCAATACCAACCACCATTTTGTTTCAAGATGCCGGCGGAAAAATCCGTTTCTCTACAGCACTAAAACGGTTGTAACGGTACTGATATAAACTTTCCGAAAGTATTCCCTATGAAACACTATAAATTTATGGATATAACGTACTTCCTCGAAAAAGGGTTTTAATGAATTTAAAATTACATTTTCAAATAACTCAAAAAATATGCATTTTTTTCCTCTTTCCGGTTCAGAACATATTTTGAAAACATTTAAATTTCCTAAAAAACTTTCATCGAAATCCGTCCAGTATAAACTCATACGGTTTCTATAAGACAAAACAAAGATCAGCTTTGCTTTAGAACATTTGGTAAATATTTAGAAACAGCGTATCTTTTCAGCGAATCGTACGATACCACCATAAATTACATTCATTTTAATATTTATTTTTTAGGAAATTTAGTATAATTTCAAATGACCATATAAAATATGAACATAAATTTAATAATTTTTTGTGTTTTT